GGTACTAAGATGTATAGGCATTTCTAATGAAAAAATTATGGAATTCTTTGAATTTTTTATGAAAAACTTTATCCTGATGTGTCCGTCAAAAACATCCAGTTGCCAGTTACTTTCACCTTAGATGAGTTTATATTTAAATTCCTAGCTAGTGTGCAACAAATGTCTGTCATTAGCAGGCTAGCCAGCCATTGTAAGGTTCTTAAGGGAACCAAAAGTGGTCCTTCACTCCAAGAACCCCGGCACCTTCATTGTAGCACATGATGGTTCATAGCCACTTAATCACCAGAGCAATTTTTAACCAACCCCTACGACCACCAATACTGTCCCAACTCCCTTCTGATTAGCCAGGGCATGAAAACTGTCAATCACTCTGATGTCACTGAGCATCCGCCAGCAGCAGTGGCAATATCAACCTCTCGCCAAGTTCTAAAAAAACACACTGCCAACAAAAACAGGTCAGACACCTCCACTGTCCAGGGATCTTCCAAAGACGAAGAGCAACTAACAGTACTGCCCTTTCAGAGCTTAGAAATTGTGGACACACAAAGATAGAAATCAATAATGTCACCAGAAGAAAAGACCCCCAGGCTCAGAGGGATCACTGTCTGCAGAGCAATTGGGGATGGTCAAACGTATGGCACGTAAACAGTGAGGTGTGGAGGTTTCCATTAAGATACTGATAAGTATTCCCACTGCACAAAAGAAGTCAACGATGGCTAACCCTCAAAGAGCAAGAGTCTAGACTCACCAAAAAAGGAGCAACCAGTAGATGTGCTCAACGTAATGATATGTTATCGCTATTGTGATTAAATATGTCATGATGCACTTTTATCTGAGTATCGTGAGTATCGTGAGGAGTTTTAGAACATTTTCTATAAATAGGTATAGCAAAAGGTATACTGTGGTATAGTTACAATTTTTGGTGGTCTCGGTATATATCACGATATATATTTATATATATATATTATTTATATATATATATACATTGTCCATATGTCAATATTGCTTTCTAGCACTAATCCCATGGGCCTGGCAAAAAATGTTGATATATTGAATTTTGTTTTTGTTCAATTATCCAGTCCACCTTAAATGGTGTGGCAGTTAATTCAGGCAGGTGTTCTGGCATCTGAATGCAATTGCTGCATCATTTAAGGTAGAACTGGAAATTCGAATAAGAAGCCAACTTCAACTTTGTCGAATTTCTCAAGTCATTTGTCTAGTACGTGCATCCCATACACTCCCCGAAAACGCTGCAGCTGACTGAGTTAGGCAGCTTCTTTTAGATGGTACAAGAGCAAATAGAAGCCCCCTGCAGTCCATGTTAGGCTAAGGCTAACCGCAAAAACCGGCCATTCCTTTATGTCTGCCGCCTCAAAAACTTGACTACTTCAGATGCAACAGGCTAGACTCTTTTAGCTGTTCGGCTAAAAGGGCTAACATTAGCGTGGTTTGCTCTGTTGATGTGTCTCTGTATCTGTGCTTATTTGTGGCATACCAGTATAACAATTGTAACAAAGCCTGAGAAAGAATTTCAAGCAGTATACCACCCACTACTAACTGCTATCATAAAAAAGATTTGCATCAATTATGAAGAGCCTGTAAACAACAACAACCGGGCTAAACACTAATAAATGATGGTTCTGCAAGGGTTCTTTAGTAAAGAAAATGGTTATATACAGAAACATAAACGTTAAAAGAACATTTTGCATGATTAAAGGGTTCTTTACATCATGAAAGCGTTCTTCAGATTGATGGAGAATGTGCTGTAGATGGTTCTATATAGAACCTTTTTGAAAAGGGTTGCATATAGGACCAAAAAGGGCTTTTCTACAGGCTTGTTACAATAGAAGAACCCTTTTTGGTACTATATAGAACTATCCACAGCACACTGTCCATCAATCTGAAGAACACTTTTGATGCAAAGAAAGCTTAAATAATATATATATATATATATATATATATATATATATATATATATATATATATAATAAAGCTTAAATAGGTTTCTTTGAGTGTTCATGGTTGTACATGGAACCATTTTCCTTACTAAAAAAACCTTGAAAAACCATCTTTTTAAAGTAACTTTTAGTAACTGCATACTAACAGTTGGATTATTTTCTGATTTGGTGCCTGAATGGATGTTAGTGTGCCTGTCCAAGTGTATGTATTATGTATGGGAATAATGAACATAGACAGATTAAACATTCCTCTGCAAATTGTGCTTAGCATATGCTAAGTGCTATTCCAAACCAGTGATGCTACCTTTTCTAACATGGCCTTAAACAGACCAGACAGAAATAGCAATATAAATGACCATTGCAAATTTCTCTGATGCTCCTCTGGCAAAAATCAATTAAAATGGTGCTCAGAGCTCACTTGAAATGGTCAGTGTCTGTAGCACCCTTGAAGCTCATTGAGCAGAGGTGTATAATGATGACTCCAGGGCTATTGCACTGAGGAGGGAAAAGGACAAGAGAGGGTAATTTGGTCAGAGAAGGGTCAAAGATTGGCCCTCTCCACACCTGTGTAAATCTTCTTTCTCCCCAGGACCAAATGAGGAATGCAGACTCTGGGGAGTTTGAATCAAAACACAAAGAGCTTACATTTGTGATCTGCTTGAATATGCTTATTATTATTATTACTATTATTATTATCACCACCAAAGAGATAATGATAGTGACCATGTTCAAAAATGAGTCCGCAATAAAAAAATGAATTTTTAATTGATGTAAGTTCACGCAAGCTGACCCCATTTGGTTGAATGGAAATTTGTGGAATTGTAAAATAAAGTCTAAAAAGTGACTTATTTTTTATAACATATTGAAGGGACACTCCAGCCAAAATAAAGAATGAGCTTATTGCTATGTCTGTTGTGCTTTGTCTGTTACGCACAGCACTGCTGCAGTAGCCTCTAGAACAAGATTTTCCAGGTTAAAAACTAGGAAAAATTTTCTTTTAATGATATATTTTGAAAAGTCAGAGGAACTTTTAAAACCACTCTGTTTTGGAGAGGACCTTTGGGGGGTGGGCTGTTTAGAAATGCCTTTTTCTTCATTAGTTGGTGAAAAGCAGCTAACAACAAGAGCTAGAAAGCAAGCTAAAAGCTAATGTTTGCAATGCAGTTACTTGGCTATCTTGACATCTTACCTCAGCTTGGCTTCTTTTCTGTGATTGAAGGGGTAAAAACTTGTCTCTGGCAACCACTCAGTGCTAAATAAACATACAATCACAAATGTCTTTATGATTTTGTTTGGCAGTTGAGGCAAAAGTTATGCTAATGCTAGCTTGCATGTATTTACTAGCTTTTAGCTCACAAAGTACACACTGATGCACTATAGAATACCGCATAATGTGATGAATAACACCTCTAGTTTTAGGCCACAACACCCTATACTATATTGAAATAACACCATGTTTCAGTGGAACACCATGCTAGGCGTAATGTAGTTACAGAACAAGATACATAAAAAACACAAGAGTGCAGTGAATGACTGAACGACTATCCACCGTCACATCAGTACACCTCCACTGAGGTATGCATAACAAGATAAACTAAGTGATATTACCATGAACATAGAAAGCACTCACTGCTAAGCTTTCTCTACTGCTAAGCTTTTTTGTTGCCTCCCACTTCGTCTTTCAAGGAGAAGAGTGCGATAAAGGTGAAAAATCACTCTAGCTCCTAATCCAGTTTCCACTCTTGCCAAACAATTTGTAATACGGCTACTACTTGGCATCATCTAGTGAGCGCACACACACAGAGGTTACCACGCCAGACATAGCACCAAATCCAGCAAATGAGAAAATGAGATAACCTTTCCTGCGAGCACAGTCCATCTTTTTGAACCTGACGAGCTTCTACCCCGCAGGCTGCTCTTCTAACGTACCACACAGAGGCTACAGATGGGGAGCCTGGGCAGCCAGGTGCTGGTTGCCTGTTTGAATCTGGCTTTTCGCTGTCTTCAGTGCAGATAGTGTTATTAATCAAAACTGGCAGTCCCTCAGCACACATTATAAGTAATATATTTGTACATCTTCCTGTGCATCTGTTTATGGGAACAAGCTTTAGTTTGATTAGGCAAAAACACTGCAGTGTGGTTAAGAATTAATTTAGCCAATGTGTTTTTTCAGAACTAATTTAATCTGATTCTTTTCATCCTTATTCACCTACATTTTACAGTAATGAATATTTTACCAAAACATTGTGGGGTTTGAGCATACATAATAATGTATATTAAGCTTAAAAGAAAGCCTAATTGATCTTTGTTCTCAGCTCATGTTGTAATACTAAGCAATCCTACAGGCTAGCACAAGGGTGTGCAATATCCAGTAATATGATTTACAACCGAGTGATAACAGATTTCTTACCCAAATAATGGGTGTAGATCTTGTTCTGTACAGAAATGGCCATTAGCATAACCTAAATCTCCGTCTAAGAGGCTAGCCTATAAGAGACCAGTGTGTTGTATTTTGCTAGCAGCTTTTCCTCAGAGTACTTTCAGACATAAAGGTGAAGGCAGAGCTATCAGACTGGCCAAACACTGATCCCATTTCCTGTTAACATTGTTTTGGCCAAGACTTCCTTCAAATTTCTGTGATGGTACAGCCATTGTGTTCAGAGGAAGAGCTTTCAACATTCCCAACATGAGAACTCTCCTCTGACTTACAGCATGCTAAACAGCCACTGACACTTACATACACATCAAGTCTTGTCAATACAGTTATGTCAGATGTACAGTGCTGTTTTATGCCATTATAAAGGCCAAGATGTAATTCAATTGATTGTTCCTTTCTCACAGACCTTAATTATTGACAAATCTGTTAGCTTTTAGGATAAAAATATGGCTCAGCTCTTATGATATTACCCACAGGAAACCATTAATAGAGATATATTTTTTTCATTTTGCCCTGGGGATGCCTTACCTTTCCATTACTGTCAGTATTTCATCATATTAATGTGGTAATGCAAATTTGCTAGAGGAAATAACAATGCATCATACCTCTCAGCCTCCTGCTCTTGTGTGTTTGTCTTGTTCTCTATTCCTGCGAAGCTGTTCATGTCCACGTAACCGTCATTCTCGTTAGCAGGTGCTGTTGTCCGATTGTGGTCGTCGAAGAATTCTGTGATGGTGACTGACCGAGTGGGTCTTCCTGGAGGAATCTGAATATTCTCGTAATCTGAACTCATAGCCGGGATATTTTCATAGTCTGAGGTATCGGCACTTGGAAAGGAGATGGATCGAGGTTTGGTGAGTGGGAGAGGCATGAAGGGAGGCCGAGAGCGGTCTTCAAAGGACTCAACTCTGGAAATGCCTCTGTTGCCATAAGTCTTAGGGACACCGTTCCTCTTTTGCCTGTCTTTGTAAACCACAAAGGTAGCGGGAAAGTCTGAGTTACGCTGTGATTTTACAATCCGAGACTGAAGCTGAGGGGAGCTGCTGGTACTCCTCCGGTCCAGCTCTATAACCCGAACTGGCCCATGATGGCTGGATTCCGACGATGACCTGGAGGAACGGACGCTGCCATCTCCATGTGTTTTGCTATCAGTTTTTTTTCTAAACTTCAGGGCCAGGAAACGCTTGAATGATGTCTTCTTCTTTTTCGGCTTGTCACTGGACTCATGTTGAATAAGGAGAGATGGGGAGCTTTTAGTGACAGGCCTTTTTGTGATGTAAGCCAGCTCAAAGGGTGGTGGTATATCAACGAGAGATGTAGGTGTAGAGACACCACTGGAGGACTGGTGGCTTCTTTGAGAAAAGCTTCCAGAAGAGGTGATGACACAAGGCAGCGAGAGAGTGTCATCTTTCCTTTTTACTTTGTTCTCCACCTGAGGTGAGTCACTTCCCAAATACGCAGACAGGCTATCCACATCTCGACCCTCCACAGAGTACGATCGTGGGTAGAAAAGAAAACGTCTCGACTTCATCGAAGGGATCATTCGATTGACCTCCGAGTTATCTGAAGGCTTTAGTAGATCTCCATTTTGGTCCAAGGTCACGGTGTAGTAGTCGTGAGTCTGGGATTCATTGCCTGTCTCCTCGGGAACAGTTTCAGGGACATATCCGGGTACTTTCCCAGAGAGCGAACGTGAGCGGGTCACAATGGTTTTCCTGTCCAGAGAGATAAAGTTCTCCCCTTCTGAGTCGAAGCCTGCCTCCTCATAAATGTGTTCGTCGCTGTCTGAGTCTGAGTCCTCAAAGAAAGGCACTATATGGCAGTCAAGGTCTTCTATATCCTCTTCAAATGCCTCTGTGGTATGGGCAAATACCACACGATTCGTTAGCTCAGGAGTCATGCCCAGGTCTAGGTCAGCTGGCACCGTGATGTTGCAAAGTCTAAGGCGTGGTTGGCAGCTATTTCTTTGGCTCACAAAGCCTTGGCTGCGCCTGGCTGAGCGCTCCTTTGCACTCTTCCCTTTAGTTTTTCGCTCCATGTCCACAGGCTCGTCTTCGTCCCCTATCTCCACATAATCCTCAGATGACACGCACTCTAGCGGCTGATCATCTCCGTCCTGGCACAGAGAGTCGTCTATGTCCGCATACTCGTCCACTTTCGTACCCTGCTGCTCTGAGGGTTCAGAGGTTGATGGGACACTATCCCCTAACTGTGCCTGTTGCTCCTCTAGTTCTGCCACATCATCTGATGAGACGTAAAAAGGCTCTTGGTTGGAAGTGATTGCCGTCTCTGTCTCAGTATCCTTTACTTTCTTATCACCGCATTCCTCATCTGTGCAGTCTGCCTCAGGGTCTGAGGTGCTCATGAGATCAGCAGGCACCACCTCTATGACCGAATAAGGCTCATACGCATCCTCTACTTCCTCTGAAAATCTGAACCGTCCCGAAGGGTCTTTTGTGGCGCGTTCCGGCTGCCATGAATCGGTGTCATCTAGTGATCCGATAACATCATAAGGGTACTCCTCGCACAGGGAGGGCTGGCTGCCATTCATAGCTTGTGAGGAAAATCCAGCCTCTGCATTAGTTGTGTCCTCAGTTGCCTCACTAAGTGCACACTCTACACTTGGATTTGTGCCCTCTTCGCATGGCTCATTGTCACACTCTGGTGGGGGCTCAGAGAGAAAGGACTCTCTCTCATTAAAATAAGGCTCTTCTATATCATCAACAGGATCTGATGTCACATCTTCAACATTATCTATCTCAGCATATGTGCCCTGGTTTAATGTTGATTCCTCAATTTCTTCGTAAGGACTGGGTGTATCGTTATTGACCTCTGTTTCATCTTCTGTTTGATCCTCTGTGAGAGTCTCTTTCTCAGGATATTCAGCAGGGTCGTCTGCTGTATCATCAAGATCACCTGTGCCCTGAGGTGGCTCCACATCACCGGTGTCTTTGATGTAGTCTACAGCAGCTGAAACAGTAGTTACAATAAATCCTTGGACGTCATTCAAGCCTGCATTATTTGCTTCAATGCTATTCTCTCTCTCCTCCTCCTCTGACTCTGCTATCTCATCTGTTTCTTCTACCCTCATCTCTAAGTCTCCTTTCACATCTTTATCAGAAATACCATCACTGGTGTTGGGGTTTGCCTCCACTTGTTCCTCTGCAATGTTAAATGACTCCTCAGCAAGCTCCACAGAGTTCTCTATGGGTGTGTCAGCTTCATCCTGCGTAGCCTCTGATTCGCCGTCCTGCTCCAGTTCCAGCCTATCAGAAGACACTATGTCTCCATTGCTAACAATGCTTTGGTTGTGTTCGTCCTCTTGCTCTGTAGACAGTCTTGGTTTTGGGGCGACGGGAGGTTTTGGACCTCGGGAAGACAGACAAGGTCTTGACATGAGGGTTGAGCGCACTGTAATGGTCAGACGACTTTGTATCTTGGGTCGAGGACTCGGTAGTTGCTTATGATAATCTGCAAAACAGATTAACAGAGGAAAGGATCAGATTACACATTTTCCCCTGCAAGTGAAACATAAGGCTGAATTTGGCATATATGACTGTCCTATATTTTTCAGGCTAGTAAACATAGCCTGAAATTAGTCTTAAAACATAGCAATGCAAGTAATGGACTAATTAACTAACAAAAAAAAAATGACAATTCGATTGAAGGACCTGTGACCCCAATGATGAAAACTGAATAGAATCCTTAAATGGGGTTAATGTGAATTTGAGGCCCATTTGGTGCAACACACCCTTTCTCTTAACAAAACTCATACACCCTTTGTCTCTTCCTGTTATTTAGTACCTGCCTTGACGCACGTCCTACTAAACTCCGTGTGCACTTGGTGATCTCCCTGCTAAGATATTGTTTTCCACCATCACTAATTAACTATTCTAGCAGACTCTCCTGGAAGATCTGCGGACAGGAAGTGCATAGGGTAAGGACATTAACAACATGCCCTCTCTTGTCTATGAACTCTTTCGTTTTGCACAGGTTTGCGCGATGCAAATGCACTTCCTTTGTGTCACTCTTCCCATAATTCATACATCAGAGAGACCCCCTCCTTCAGACTGACTGTATTTTTTTTTCTGAAAAGGTCTTTTCAGTATGTCAAAGAACAATAAAAAAGAGAAACAACAACGGGGGCCGTCTGAGTTCCTTTGGCAAAAAAACAGGATATGAATTATGCAACAAAGAATTCAATTAAAACAGAACAGAATGGGGGAGATAGCAGGCTGGACCTTTTGACTGTGCCGAGCCAACAGGACATGACACATCATCCAGCAGATAATACTGTAGTAGGCGCATCAGCTGTGCGGCTGGGAGAGGAAAGAAGAGAAGAAGAGAGGGAAAGGGATGAGAGGGGGGAGGAAGAGCGTATGGGGAGGTGTAAGGAAGAGCGAAGACAGGGGATTACTCTTCTCCTAGAATAACAGGAGAGGTGAAATTGAGAGTGATGGACTGCTGGACTATTCAGAATATGTGGCTTACTGTGGTCTTTGTAGACATAGACGTTTTATACTAGAAGAAGATGCTCAACTACACTATTAATGGTGCTAAAAAGGGTTTTTGGAGAGACGACGCAGAATAACTACTTTTGGTTCCCTAAAGAACCTTTCTGTACATGGTTATTTAAAGAACTGTTTTTGTTTTTGATATGTGCAAGTGCAACTAAAGTTTAAAGAATCTTCATATATAGTAGGTTCTCTATCAGTTATGTTTCTTATGTCTTTAAATATTATGTCTTGTCACAACAGTAGAACCCTTTTGTGCAACCATTTAAAAGGATTATTATTATTCAAAGAACCGTATACAGCAGGTTGTCCATCTTAGAGGATAAGAATTTTACCATAAAAAAGAACCATTTATGCATGCCACTGTTCTAGACATAACCACTGCCTTTACTACAGACTCCTTGAAGTACCACACAGGACTAAACACCCTTAAAAAGATGGCTCTTCAAGGGTTTTTAGTAAAGGCAGTTGTTCTATTTAGAACCATTTCATGCTTCTTTGCATGGTGAAATGGTTCTTCAGATTGATGGAGAATGTGTTGTATATGGTTCTATATAGAATGTTTTTGAAAATGTGTCTATATAGCACCAAAAAGAGTTCTGTTGTGACAATGTCAAGCTTGTAACAACAGAAGAACCTTATACAATCTTAAAAGGATGATACTTTAGTAAAGACAGTAGTTCTATATAGAACCATGAACACTCAAAGAAGCATTTGCTTGCCTAAGGGTTCTTTGCATCGTAAAACTGTAATTCAGATTGATGGAAAATGTGCTGTATATGGTTCTATAGAGAAGTTTTTGAAAATGGCTCTATATAGCACCGAGAAGTGTTTCTTTTATTGTTACAATGTGAAGCTTATAACGTCAGAAGAACCCTTTTTGGTGATGTATAGAACCATATACAACACATTCCACTTTACAAAAAAAAAACATTTGAGTATAAAATGGTTCTATATACAATTCATGGTTCTAAATAGAACTATTAGCTTTACCAAGAACCCTTGAAAAACCACCTTTTTTAAGTGAGCACAGACCTTCATTAAACTTTTTCATTGATTCGAAATTCACCCACTTGGAAGATACAAAGTGCTGGAAAAACGCTTCACGGTTCCACTCAGAGAACACGCATAGTAAATAAGTCATTCTGGCAGAGCGGCTGAAGTTGAATCAGGTTTCTCGGTAGAAATAAGTTTCTCACCCGTGTCCATTTTCGGACGTCATCCGCCGTAACGTACGAAAAACGTCCACACCATCGTTCCTTCAGCTGTACCGGTACATCCACTGTATCCAAGCGTTTGGCGCCGTTATTCCGCGGACGCTGCCACCGTAAATGAACGAACAGAGAAAGATCGCATTACTCAGATGTGTCCGTCCCGGGTTGTGTTCAGCGTTGGCCGGCTTTAACACCTCCTCTCAGCTCCTCTCCTCAGTAGCGGACAGACGCGGACTGAGCGCAGTGAGAGAGCCCGGCTCGCTCTGAGGAGGGAGGTGTGTTTTTTCCTCAGGAGGTAGAGCCAGCTCTCCACGCAGACCTCCAGCGCGGAGCTGGCTGACCAATAACACTTGAAGTTGAACAACAAACAGTGATAAACACGAAGTAGAATCAACATGACATGAAATAACACGTCGTGGTTGTAAACACGTGAAGATACTGTCACTTTGCGTGTTAGAGAGTTCAGCTCACTTGGATGTGGTGTGTTCAGCACTAAAAACAGCAGTGCATTGAATTGACTTATGACCTATGTGTGTATGGTGTGTATATATCTATATCTATCTATCTATCTATCTATCTATCTATCTATCTATCTATATATATATATCCTTAATATCCAACTTCCCTGCTGAAAAAATATTGCAACCATATATCAACACATGCAAACGTATATGTGTAACACATATTGAACAACATATGCACTCATATATGGAAGGCATACATAACTCATATATGCTAGATTTATGTTATTAGATTTTTATGCATCTTTTTTGTTTCTTCCACATATGTCCTAATGAAGTGAACATTAGTCTACTAGCTACACAGCTAACCTCTAAATACATGCACATTACAAGCTATGCAGTAAAGGCATTAACATTTATTAACATGAAGTTAATAAAAGTATTGTTCCCAGACAAACTATAATGGTATGTATGCAACCATGTATCAGATAAATATGTATGATCCGTATTTTATGCATATATGTATTCACCCAATATATGTATAATTCATATACGCAACATATATGTACATATATTTTCAAATACTTTCAAATACTGATCCTTTATAATATGTGTATATCTAGGCCTACAAATCAGATCTCCGTATGGGTGAGAGCAATTAAGTATATTGAGGACAATGACTGGCGGCATTTAATGGTGGTGAATTTTTCAAATTTCTATATAGTTCATTCTATGAGGTACAGTAGTTTGATGTGAAATTGTTAATTATACTTACTGAACTTACTGTAGGCATTTGGTTTACTATTCAAAATGACCAGTGTACCTGCTGTTTTCTTTGGGGACTACTTTGCTGCACAATGCACCTCTCCGCCATGAATGTGTTTACAAAAATGTGTTTTCTGCCAAAAAACAAAACTACCGTAAAACAATGTCTCAGGCCTCAGTCAATGTATTGGTAACCATTCCATGTAATACCTTTCTGTGATGCAGCTTTTAGAAGCATTAAATGCTTCAGATGTCTGGTTCCTATCACCACCACTGTGAGCAATTCTGACTCCATACATTTCTCTAGAATGGAGAAACCATTTTCAATGACTGCTTCTATCTTGACAATTAAATTATGCAGAAATTTCGAAAAATGGATGGTGGGATTCCCATTTAAGAGCAATGCAGGATAGTTTAAAGGCTTGTGGCACTACTGAACACTTTTTGGTGTGCATATTGAGCTTTAACCCATTAGATTTAGAAATGAGTGGTTATTTTGATGTTTGTATTGTGCTGACTGCACAGACAATGATTGATTTAGTAATTGGAGAGCACTATATAAAAATAAAGGTTCCTAAATGCATATTGGCATAGAAGCATAGAAGCATTACACTGTGTGGAGTTTCTTAAAACTTTATAAAAAGGTTCTTCACACTTGCACATCTTGTTGAGAGGTTCTTTAGGGAACCAAAAGTAGTTTTTCTTTGGTATCGCTTTAGGGAACCCTTTTTGGCACCGGTATTTTTAAGAGTGTAGAAAACAGTTTCTAAAAAGAGTTGTTGTGAGACACCAAAAGCTGCAGAGAAGGGCTTCCCAACTGGTCCTCTGTTGGCTGATTGGAGGAAAGCAGCTCTTTAAAAGCCTCTCTTCATAACAGGAAACTGCTCTCCCTGTTTCCTGCACAACAGGCAGAACTTCCTTAGCAACTCTTGAACAAAGGTGTTGATGTTAACCCTTCAGCTTCTCATTGTATTTGAGAAGTAGATTTGGGTTTTCACTGGGCTCGGTGACATTTTAAAAAGTCTATAATTTGAACATTAATGCAAGTAATGCTGATTTACATCCAGCATTGGAGACCAGACTTGGTGGTAGCTATAGCTGCAGATATAGCTGCCAGTACCTTTTTTAGCATCTAAATACATTGTATGATAGCTGTCTTGCTAATTATACTCATTACATGTCACAAATGTCATTAAACTTCTATTCTGACAGTTTTCCACCTTGCAAACTTGTCTGCATTAATCAGATTTTGCAATGACTCGTCTTTTTCTAGGACCACCAGCTGCGCTTCTGCAGGGCTGATGAAGGGCAGATTGTAGACCTGAACGTCAGGAGAGAAGAGCTGTCAGTTAGGCGAGCCTTCACTTTGGCAGCTCACATTACAGGTTCAGGATTCAAACATTAGGGGGTAAACTCCATGGGACTTCTTTTCTCGTCTCTGTCTGTGTGTCTCTTTCTTTCTCTGGCCCTGAACTGGTGGCTGTCTTTCTTGTCTCTCTATCTATTTATCCCTCTCTTTCTTTCTGACCTTCATGACTGTAAAAAGGTCAGGTAGCTCTCCTGAACAATAGGACTACAGTAAGAGTGAATGGAAAGGATGGAGACTGAGTCTTGTAGAGGCTGCAGAGCTTCTCAATGCTGTCTTATCTCCTCACATGTCAATTTATTTCTACACCAAATGAAAACACCAACTGCCCTTTATATTGTTTAATGAATGGAGCAACAGAAATTACACCAACAGAAATCTTTTTACATAAGCATGCATTAAAGCTTGTTTTTTGCTCCATAAAGTTACTAGACACAAGGTTTTCTTATGACAGTGATCATATGCACCTAAAGGGAGTAAACCATATATTAAAATCTATAGTTTAATGCATAAATGTTATGCATTCAGTTTATTCATTGCCACCCACTATAGGCATATGCGAGATGTTCTTCATTTTTATGGTCCGTACTTGTTTTTTTTTGCAGTTTTGCAATTTTCTTCAACATTGCAAATTTCACAATACAGTACAGAATATTTATACATACACCATCAGCTCCACTTACCATATAGATACACTGTAGTTCTACAATTACACACTGTAGTCCATCTGTTTCTCTGCATACTTTGTTAGCCCGCTTTTACCCTGTTCTTCAATAGTCAGCACAGAGCAGGTGTCTTAGTGTATGTTGCACTGGTATAAGTAGATCAGACACAGCAGTGGTAGGTAATGTGTGACACAGTGGACACACAGTGTTTAAAACTTCAGCAGCTCTGCTGTGTCTGATTCACTCATACCAGCACAACACACACTAAAAAGCCACCACTACATCAGTGTTACTGCAGTGCTGAGAATGATCCACCACCCAAATAATACCTGCTCTGTGGTGGTCCTGTGGGGGTCCTGGCCGCTGAAGAACAGGGTGAAAGGGGACCAGCAAAGCATGCAGGGAAACAGAGGGACTACAGTCTGTAAGTGTAGAAGTACAAAGTGCCTCTATATGGTAAGTGAAGCTGATAAAATGGACAATGAGTGTAGAATCAAGTGTACTTGATGAAGTGGCCTGTCAGTGTGTGTGTGTGTATGTATATTTGCAAATATCTTACTTACTTCTTACCAATGTTATCAAAGATTTCTGAACCTCTGAGTTGATCTTGTAGGTTTCACAGCATTTAAACATTTTTTTTTTCTTCAAAAGAGGCACAATTATAGTTTACATGCTGTCAATATAGGGCAGCAGAAACATCTCAAAAGTAACATATGACCGTATTTCTCCAAAAATATTTATGCTCTTGGCTGGTTAGGTTCAGATTGTGTCAGTAGACCATTTTCAGCTGCTGGGCCACCTCTTTGTTCATGTAACAGGGAAGCGAGGCTAAAGATAACACACGGCTGGCATTTAGCCCTGCCATTTGTGTCTTTTAGTGGAAAGTATTCAGAGGCACTGAATTTGACCTTTTTTACTTTTTTATTGTACAAATATGTTTTTCTTTCTGCAGCGAGCATCGAAAACAAGGCCTCTGTTTGTAAGCATTGTAACGAAAGGGCTAAAGCCTCTGGCTGGAAGAATAGCTGCGAGTGTAAATAAGCTTCCAGATGTGATAGGAGTATGACGAAAACATGTTTTTTGGGCTGAACACACAAATATCCTTGACCATTACAGGTTTTGTTGAGAACTGTAACACCCCACTCCCAGCCCACCACCCCCACCTGGGCTCCAATATGTGTGTATACGAGAGAGAGGGAAGGACTCAGGAAAAACATGTCAGAGACCAGCTACACACACACACAGCACTGACCCAAACAGGAAACTGATTGGGAAAAAGGGGTCAGCAACTTGTTCCCAGACCCCCGAAGTGAATCGTTGCCCAATGTTTCGTAAGAGCTGCCTTAAAAAGACCACGAGGATTGTTTTTATCCTGAAAGTAGGAAAGATCAGATGGTGCTTGTTTTTCAGTCAGTGCGTGCCATTGCCGCCAGATGGTTGGGTCAATTCAGAGGCAATGAGAATTTCAATAGGGGCCTCATGTAGACGGGGTAACCTGAAGTGTAACACTGACCAATAAGCACATTGGCTTCAATCTACTGTCCATAGCCTATACTGCAGCTACAGGCCTAGTGTATTCCACAGTGCTGCTACAGGCTAAAGCACTGTGCAAAAGTCAGAGACCGCCCTTCATTTATTCAATTTCTAGTCAAAATAAACATTAAGTACAAGTTAATTATTTTTCAGCATGTGGAAAAAGCAGAAAACACACACTCTCGAAAAGTTGGCTCTTCAAGGGTTCTTTAGGAAAGATAAAGGTTCTATATAAAACCATGAACATAAAACCATGAACATAAAAACAATCTATAGAAAACCATGAACACTTTAAGAACCATTTGCATGCTTAAAGGATTCTTTCCATGGTGAAATGGTTCTTTTGATTGATGGAGAATGTGTTGTTTACGGTTCTATGTAGATGCAAATCTATCCTTTAATCATGCAAAGTGTTCTTTGAGTGTTCAGGGTTCTATATAGAACCATTTACTTCACTAAAGAACCCTTGAAGAACCATCTTTTTAAGAGTGTAGATGGTTCTATGCAGAACCTTTGTGAC